ATTTTTCATAGTATTCTCTTATGAATCTTTTAATTTTAGTTGTGTCTGTTGTGATATCACCCTTCTCATTTCTTATACAGTTTATTTGCTTCATCTTCTGTGTTTCTTTTGACAGTTTGGCCAGTGGTTTATCAATATTGCTGATCTTTTCAAAGAACCAGGTTTTGGTCTTGTTAACTCTTTCAGTTGTTTTTCTATTCTCTATTTCATTTAATTCTGCTGTAATTCTTATTATTTCCTTTTCCCGGCTCCTGAGGGCTTCTTTTGTTGCTCTCTTTCTACTTGTTCCAGTTGTAGGGTAAACGTTTTGATTTTGGCCTTTTCTTTTTTTTGGATGTGTACATTTATTGCTTTAAACTGACCTCTTAACATTGCTTTTGCTGTGTCCCAAAGATTCTGGTAGGATGTGTTTTCATTCTCATTTAATTCTATGAATTTCTTTCTTCCATCCTTAATTTCTCCTGTAACCCAGTAGTTTTTAAGCAAGGTGTTGTTCAGTTTTCATGTGTTTCATTTTTTTCCTTGCTTTTTTTGTTATTGGTTTCTACTTTTATGGCTTTACTGTCAGGAAAGATGCTTTGTAATATTTCATTGTTTTGGATTCTGTTAAGACTTCCTTTATGGCACAATATGTGCTCTATTTTGGAGAGTGTCCCATGTGTGTTTGAAAAGAAAATATACTTGGCTGCCGTTGGGTGGAGTGTTCGGTATATGTCCAAGAGTTCAAATTGTTTGATTGTAGCATTTAGATCTTCTGTGTCTTTATTGAGCTTCTTTCTGGATGTTCTGTCCTTCACTGAAAGTGGTGTGTTGAAGTCTGCTACTATTAATGTGGAGCTGTCTATCTCTCTTTTCAATGCTGTTAGAGTTTGTTTTATGTATTTTGGAGCCCTGTCTTTGGGTGTGTAAATATTTATTATAATTATGTCCTCCTAGTGTGTTGACCCTTCAATAATTATATAGTGTCCTTCCTTATCCTTTGTGGTGGATTTTACTTTAAAGTCTATTTTGTCAGAGATTAATATTGCCACTCTTGCTCTTTTTTGAGTGTTGTTTGCTTGATATATTTTTTTCCCATTCTTTGAGTTTTTGTGTCTTTAAGTCTAAGGTGTGTCTCTTGTGGGCAGCATATAGATGGATTGTTATTTTTGTATAATTGTTTCTTTATGGCTCAAAGTCATACTATATTATTGTGCCATGCTATAATAATAATAACTAAAAGATATTGAGTGCTTACTATGTGCCATGTATTAATTTAAATATTGTTTCAACTTAATATAAGTAACTGCAACAATGGGATCAAACATAGCAAAGAGTGTAAGGATGGTGTAGGACCAGGCAATTATTTCATTCTGTTATACTTAAGGTCACTATGAGTTGGAGACAGCTCAATAGCACCTAACAACAACAACTTAATACAAAATGATTCAGGAACTTACTTTCCTAAAAGCATTTTTGGGTTTTTTACATTTGCCTTATCTTACAATAGATGAGTCCAGATTATTTACTTTCAAGGTATTCTAGGCAATATAACATAACTACTTTTTTAAGAAAAATAATTATTTATTCAACAAAGGCTGAAGAAAGGTTCTCTTGAAAATTTTTTTGCCCTTGATAAAATATTTATTTTCATTATTTTGTCACTTTACCTGATCTCTCACCTGTATACCCAATTGCCAGAATTAGGTCTCTGGCACTGAACTGCAATAGAGCACATCTAGGCCTCAGGACTTGTCCAGGTGCTGAGTTTGCCCGAGTGCGAGTGCTCAGAGTGATTGACCACAGTGTGTGGTTGGCTCAGGAGCTGTGACCCTGCCCCCCAAGAATCTTAAAGTGGGTGTCAGTAGATGGGTAGGTGGAGGTAGCAAAGTCAGAGGAACATGGCTGAGGTAGTAGGAGTGAATTTTGTGGTTATTCATGAATCATGATGAAGGAAGAGAGGGAGTTGAGAGGAAAGAGAAACCAAAGAATCATTCCTAATGGGAATTTCATAAGAAGTTGCTCCATAGTATCACCTTGGGCTCCTCTAAGCCATCAGAGTGCAGGAGCTGGGCCATCTCCCTGGTCTGTCCTCATTCTTGGCAGCTCTGAGCAGAGCCACAGTTACCACCTAGACATGGCTGTTCCTCAAACCTCCATAAATCTGCAGTAAAATCATGGACCCACCAAATGTTAGGGCTGAGGGCAAATGGGAGTTCACCCATCCAATGCCCTCACTGTAGGGAAGAGGAGACAAAAGCAATGAGGTGAAGTGGCTTGCCCTGGTTGTACCACAGGTACTAAATTGGTACTGAATGAGCCAAGTGAGGTCCTTAATGCATTACAAGATCCGAATGTGCTTTCTGAATAATGAAAAAGAGTTAAGATGAGCTCAGAACAGGTTGAGGGCATATTTTTCAACTCCACGTTATTTAAATGTGGCCAATTGTATGACCATGTATTATGTACTATGTATGCACATTCTATATGGAAGAGACTGAGTAACCAGAGCAGCCTAGTACTTGGCCAAGCTGGAGATCAGAGTTTACCAGAATTTGGAGAAGTCTATACCTTGAAAGATTTTCAATTTATTGGCCTGTCTTTTGTGAGGGAAAGATTTGATTGGAGCTTTTTATAGGTAACAGTGGGTATGGGATTTTAATCATTTGAACTCAATAAAACCTGTAATGACACAGGGTCTCCCGAGGTGTCTAGCTTTTTCTCTTCTGGTGCTAAGGACCATTTTGTTTCAGTTACTCAGGAAATGACTTTAGGACAATATTGATTTTTGAATGAATAGGGTCTGGACAAGTTCTTTGTCCTCAGTGACCTTGACCCCATGCTGCCTATTGCTGAGTCAAACGGTCATTCCAATTTAGCTGAAAAACATAGCTAAATAAATAGGGCTATGGTCTGCCCATGGTGTGCTCAACTACTAACCAGATAAATTTGGGAAAACCCCTTTGTTCTTTTGAGAAGGATGAATTCATTTCTTAGTCTCACTGTAAAGCATAGTCATAAGCAGAAGAACACTAAACTAAACATGAGAACAAGGCTGCCTTGGGGCTATAGGAAAAGCCCCACAACAACCTCCCTCAGGATGTCTGAAGCCCAGCAGGCCAACCTAGGTTTCACAAGCCTCGTGAGAGCAGAGATGACGACCGTTACTGAGCACTGTGCTCTCCTGGGGAAGCGACCCTATGCAGAGGTGGAGTTCCCAGCCACAGCTGCCTTATGAGTCTTCTCCACCCACCCACCCCTGGAACACTACACTCTTCCACCTCTGGGCTAGAGCAGCCACCTGAGGCTCCTGGCAGTTTCACCTCAGTGAACCCCAGGTTCACTGGAAAATATACCTATGCAGCAGGACAGCCCCAGGGTTAGAAAGGCCCTCTGTTCCAGCCCTGGCTGTGCATCAGAATCACCTGAGGTATGGAGGTTAAAAAATATAGATTCCAGACCCCACCTCAGACTTTCTGTATCATATAGGGAGTCCAAGAATCTGTTAGAGTCTCAGATAATTTCTAGTCAGCAACCTCCACTTGCACAGGAATTGGGATCATTAGGTCCACCCTGCCTGTGCTACAGCTCCCAGTTCTACAGTCGAACTCTTGGTCCCATCATGTGGAGGGATCTTATTTCCCACGCCCCAACAATTTGAACTTGAGTCGAGGGTCACCTCTCAGACCTGTAAAGCCAGAAAAGTATGTTTTCCTTGTAGCATTGATGGCATCCTAGCCTTATGTCCACTAAGGTGGGAGAGTTGAGCTTCAGAAGGACTAATTAGAAAGATATGCTAGTGAGGTCTCACTTAGATGGACTGTCATTGAGTGAAGCTTTATTGTTGTTAGCTGCCATTGAGTTGGCCCCCAATTCATGATGACCCTACGTACAACAGGATGGGATTGTTGTAATCCATAGGGTTTTCATTGGCTAACTTTCAGAAGTAAATTGTAGGCCTTTCTTCCTAAACTGTTTTAGTCTTGAAACTGCTGATACCTGTTCAGCATCCCAGCAACACTCAAGTCTCCACTGACAGATGACTTGTGGCTATGCATGAGGTGCACTGGTCAGGAATCAAACCCTAGTCTCTTGCATGAAAGGTGAGAATTCTACCACTGAACTACAACGGTCCTCTGCAATAGATTCGCACCTCTCAAAAGTCACTTTACAGAAGAGGTAGCCGAGGTTAGGATATGGCAACGGAATGCTCAGGGCACACAGCCAGTTGATTGTTGAATCAGGTATAGAACCCAATTGTCCTACTTCCCAGGTGAGCTGGCTGCCCTGCACTGTGTAAACCTTTGGTTTCAACAGGCATTAGAAGTCCTTTATCCACAAGGCAGAGACTAGCTTTCAAATCCAGTCTCCAACTAAGGCAAGACGACAGCTCAACTGCTGTTTAGACAGCGGCTGCTCCTACCAGAGGCCAGGTTTCCCAGATTGAGTACAGGTGGCCCCTGACTCACCACGGGTTCTGTTCCGAAGACTCCATCCTAAATTGGTTCCAACATAAATTGAATACCTTTTTTTATTTCAGTTTTCATTATTATTGCCTTTTATTATCAGTATCTTTATTTGTCTTTGATGGTTCAAAATTTTACATAGAAATTTACAGATATGATGACATCAGCAAATTACACAAAGCAACGTTGTACATAGTGTATATTACTAACGATAAGATGTACAAAAAAAAAAAAAACAGTCGTAAGTGTGGTTCATTGTAACTTGAATACATCGTATGTCAGAGACTACCTGTACTCACTTTCATATTAGTTTATTCTGTGCACTCAACTTTTTAAAATCTTATCTGTCACATCCCACTGGATTTTGGGTTCTAATACTGAACCAAGGTACCCCACGCAGGGTAAAGAAGTAACAGAAGATTCTAACTCTTCAGGAGAGTTTTAGGGGCATCTCTTTCCCCTCCACAAGACAGCCCCTCTCATATTTGAATATCTTTGTCATGTTGCTGTTGACATCTCACCCTTTCCATCTGCTTGTCACATTTCCACTGACAGCACCCTCATTCTAGCCACAATGATCTGTCACCTCATCCGCTGCAGCAGCCTCCGAACAAGTCTCCTTGCTTCCAGACTTGCACCCTACAATCTCTTCTCTGCACAGCAGCGAGAGGGAACTTTTTAAACAGTAAGTCAGCCCTTATTTCAAACCTTCTAATGGTTTAACATTGCATGTTCAAAGAAATCCAAGCTCATTCCCCTGCCGATCTCATTGTCCTGAACTGCTCCCACCCTCTGTGGCTCGCTGTGCTCCAGGCACACTGGAATACGCCAACACATTCCCTCCTTTGAGCGTTCCATCCTGTTGTTCTTCTCCTCTGCCCTTCCAGACCTTTGCAAAGCTGTCTCCTTCTTGTCATTCGAATCTTAACTTAAATTTCCTCCCTCGGAGAGATCTTTCTTCATCATCTGAATAGCATAGTGCCTCTGCAGTAATCTTATCACATCATCCTGTTTTATTTTCTTCACAGCACTTACCTCTATGGGAAGTTATCAGTCATTTATTTTGCTTGTTTACCATCTGTCTCCCCTTCACTGTCCTCTGGGTCAACTAGAATGGGCACGTCATGGAGTGGGAACCTGGTCTGTCTCGCTTCCCACAGTATCTCCAACATCTACCTCACAACCTGGCAAAGTATGTACTCAAAAGTAGTGGTAGAGGAGACGATGAATTCTTTATAGGGAGGAATTGGACGGGTCTGGACACCTCTGGGTGCTGTTAGAAGACAACATGGCAATAACGTGGTGCTCACTCTCCTATGCAGTTGCTGGGAGCCTACACTGTCACAACCTTTTTTGGAGAGCAATTTCACAGTCTGTATCAGGATCCTGGAGCCCCAGTGGCTAAGTGGTTAAGCATTTGGCTGCTAACCAAAAGGTCGGCAGTTTGAATCCACCAGCCGCTCCTTGGAAACCCTATGGGGCAGTTCTACTCTGTCCCATAGGGTTGCTATGAGTCAGAATTGACTGGACAGCAATGGGTTTGGGTTTTTTTTTTTTCTGTTTTATCAGGATCCTGAGACAGTTCCAAAGTATTGCTCCAAAGCAATTTTCCTTCTGAAAGTCTAAACAATGAAGGAAAAAATCAGAAATGTGGGCAACAATTTATACACAAATATTAATTAAAGCTTTTTATATACTTATATACATATACACATGTACACATAAATATGTGTGTATAGGTGTACATACACATATATATTTACATAGTAGGAGAAATTATAAAAATTGTGTTTATTATAAGTTTGAATTACAGAAAAAAACATGATATTATGTGATAAGAGGAATACAAAAGTGTATACTAAAACCAGTCGATTCCAACTCATGGCGACTCCATGTGTGTCAGAGTAGAAGCGTGCTCCATAGGGTTTTTCATTGGCTGATTTTTCAGAAGTAGATCACCAGGCCTTTCTTACAAGGCATCTCTGGGTGGACTCAAACCTCCAACTTTTTGGTTAGCAGCTGAGCACGTTAACTGTTTGCACTGCCCAGGGGCTCGACAGTATAGCAATAAAATTTTAAAAAAAGCCACCAACTGCCTTCAAGTCAATTCCACCTCATGGCAACCCCATGTGTGTCAGTGTAGAACAGTGCTCCATAAAATTTTGAATGGCCGAACTGTCAGAAGTAGTCACTAGGTCTTTTTTCCAAGATGTCTCTGGGTGAACTCGAACCATGAACCTTTCGCTCGCCTTATGCCAACAACACACTCTGAGGCTTTCAGCTAGTAGCTGCGTATGTTACTATTTGCACCACGCAGGAACTCCAGTAAAATATTAGTTCTTATTTAAAATTCTGTTTTCCAGATACCATGTCAAGCACTTATATTTCCTAATTCTCTCAACAACCCTGCAAAGTAGTTATTATTATTTCAATTTCACCAACTGGGAAAAATGACACTTAAAGAGATTAAGGAAGTTGACAAATGTGACGAAGTTTATAAGTTGTAAACTCAAGATTTGAATCCAAAGCTGTCTCACTCCAAAGACTAAATTTTAAACCATATATTCAACACTAATTCCAGCTTTGTAAAAATTTTAAACATATGTATCTCTCTTCAAGAAATACTAAGAAGAAATACACCAAAATGTTAACAGTACTTGCCTCTGAATGTTGAGATTATGAGATTTTTTTCATTATAATTTTCTATATTTGAATTTTTTTCTATAATGAGCATGTTACTTTCATATAAAGTTTCAAATTTTATTAAAAAGTAGGTTGTTACATACACAAACTACAAATACATTTGACTTATAAAGCAAAAATACTTTTAATGAAACAAACAATTTGAATCCAATGTTTAATATATTAAATAATATATTGTCACTGAGTAGCATTCATTCAATAATGAAAGAGAAGTTAAACGTTAAGAAACATATTAGTGCATTTTGTCACTAAGTCAATTTATCAGTAAATCAAAGTAGAGAACTAATTGTTGACTGTCCTGATAAGTGGTTTAAAAGAAATTCAACAGAATTCAACTACATTCATGTAAAAGCACATACACATACGCTGTTATTAGTTGCTTCTGAGTTGCTTCTGACTCATGGTGACCCCATGTGTGCAGAGTAGAACTGTGCTTCATAGGATTTTCAAGGCTGTGACCTTTCTTAAGTCTATCACCAGGCCTGTCTTTTGAAGCACCTCTGGGTGGTTAGTAGTCAAGCACATTTGCACCACCCAAGGACTCCTACACATAAACGTGTGCATGTGTGTGTGTGTGTGTGTGTGTGTGTGTACCCTGGTGACACAATGGTTAAGCGCTTGACTGCTGATCGAAAGGTTGGATGTTCGAAATCACCCAGCGGTTTTGAGGAGAAAGACCTGGCAAAGTGCTTCTGTAAAGATTTTGAAAACCTGGTGCCATCGAGTTGATTCTGACTCATAGCGACTGTATACAACAGAGTAGAACTGCCCCATAGGGTTTCCAAGGCTGTAATCTTTATGGAAGCAGACTGCCACATCTTTCTCCCACGGAGCAACCAGTGGGTTCGAAATGCCAACCTTTAGGTTAGCAGCCAACCACTTAGGTTAACCACCATGCCAACTAGAAAACCCTATGGGGCAGTTCTACCCTGTCACATGGGGTCACTATGAATTGTATTCAACTGGAAGGCGTCTAGCCACAACATACATACATACATATATATATATATATACATACGTATATGTATATACATATATAGTGACCACAACCAAGAGCCCAAACATAGATAGCAATGATCGTGAGGATGAGCAGTGTTTCATTATGTTGTACTTGGGGTAGCTATGAGTCAGAACCGACTCGATGGCACCTAACAACAACATATGTTAGGTGCCATCGAGTCAGTTCTGACTCATAGCAATCTTATGTACAAATGTACAACAGAATGAAACACTGCCCAGTCCTGCACCATCAACATGATCATTACTATGTTTGAGCCCATTGTTGCAGCCACGGTGTCAATCCATCTAGTTGAGAATCTTCCTCTTTTTCACCGACCCTTCACTTTACCAAGCATGATATCCTTCTCCCGGGACTGGTCTCTCCTGATAACATATCCAAAGTATGTGAGACGAAGTCTTGTCATCTCTGCTTCTAAGGAGCATTCTGGCTGTACTTCTTCCAAGACAGATTTGTTTGTTCTTTTGACAGTCTATGGTATATTCTTCACCAACACCACAATTCAAAGGCATCAATTCTTCCTTATTCATTGTCTAGCTTTCACATGCTATGGTATGATTGAAAATACCATGGCTTGGGTCAGGCGCACCTTAGTCTGCAAGGTGGTATCTTTGCTTTTCAAATCGTTTGCAGCAGATTTGCCCAATGCAATATGTCGTCTGATTTCTTGACTGCTGCTTCCGTGGGTGTTGATTGTGAATCCAAGTAAAATGAAATCCTGGACAACTTCAATCTTTTCTCCATTTATCATGATGTTACTTAATGGTCCAGTTGTGAAGATTTTTGTTTTCTTTATGTTGAGGTGTAATCCATACTGAAGACTGTAGTCTTTGATCTTCATCAGTAAGTGCTTCAAGTCCTCTTCACTTTCTGCATGCAAGGTTGTGTCATCTGCATCTGCAGGTTGTTAATGAGTCTTCCTCCAATCCTGATGCCCCGTTCTTCTTTGTATAGTCCAGCTTCTCGGATTATTTGCTCAGCATACAGATTGAATAGGTATGGTGAAAGAATGCAACCCTGATGCATACCTTTCCTGACTTTAAACCACACAGTATCCCCTTGTTCTGTCCGAACAACTGCCTCTTGATCTATGTACAGGTTCCTCATGAGCACAATTAAGTGTTCTAGAATTCCCATTCATTGCTGTCTATTAGTGGAAAGTATTTGAGTTTTCTTTCTCTGACAAGCTTCTACCTTACACAGGTTCTGGCTTTCGTGGGTTTTACTGTATCTTCTCCCAGGGTGTGGCTTGTGTTTTCACATTTTTTATGGTGTCTTTTTGAAGAACAGAAAGTTTAATGTTAATGTAGATGTATTCATCAATTCGTTATTATGATTTGCATTTTGTGTGTATGTGTGTATGTGTGTATTATTTAAGAAATTCTTCCTTTTGATGAGATTCTAAAGATACTCTACTTTTTTGCTAAAAGTTTTTTTTTTTTGCTTTTCATGTTTAAATCTTTAATCAATTTGGAATAGCTAATTGCAGATGATTGTAAGGTAAGCATTCAGTTTCATGATGTTTCCATATGGAAAACCAGTTGCCCCAGCATCATTTATTGAATGGCTCATCATTTCCCTGGTGACCAGCAATGCTCTCCAGGGTCTGTGCAGGGCCTCTGATCTATTTATATACGCCATTGCCAATGTTGTTTGTTGTTGGATGCCATTGAGTGGATCCAATTCTTAGTGACCCATATGACAAAGTAGAACTGCCCCATAGGGTTTTCTTTGCTGTAATATTTATGGAAGCAGATCTCCAGGTCTTCTCCCACAAAGCCACTAGATGGGTTTGAACCACCAATCTTCGCAGTTGAACGCGCAACCGTTTGCCCCTTTCTGTTGCCAATACCACTCTTAAATACTGCAGTTTTTTATTTTTTGCATTTTTTTTATTGTACTTCAGGTGAAGGTTTACAGAACAAATACTTTCTCATTAAACAGTCAGTTCACATATTGTTTTA